TAATAAAAAAAAAAAAAAAGATAAAAGCCCAGGACCAGACTCTATACTCAACAATGCTTTGAAAGCAGGTTCCCTGCTTTTAGCACGTCCTCTCACCCACCTATTCAATAAAGTTCTTGACACTGGGCAGGTCCCAGATCAATGGAAGAGATCTGATATAGTCTTACTGTACAAAAAAGGGGACCCGAAAGACGTAGGAAATTACAGACCTATAAGTCTTCTTTCAAGCGTGTACAAATTATTTATGTCAATTCTACAAAGCAGATTGTCTCCAAAAATCGATGAATACCAGCCGTTAGAACAAGCTGGCTTTCGTTCGGGCTTTTCTACAACAGATCACATTCACGCTATTCAACAAGTGATAGAAAAACACAAAGAGTTCAACAAACCGCTATATATAGCTTTCATCGACTATGCAAAGGCTTTTGATACGATCTCTCACAACTCTATATGGGAAGCCCTGGATCACTGTAAAATCCAAGAAAAATACATAAAGGTATTAAAAAACATCTACAAAGGAAGCACCAGCAGGGTAAAACTGGAAAAAAGAGGAACAAATATACCAATTTTTCGGGGAGTAAGACAAGGAGATCCTGTTTCACCAAAGCTTTTTATAGCGGTACTACAGATTATTTTCAAGAACTTGCATTGGCCATCACACGGAATAAAAGTAAATGGGAGGAGGCTAACTCATTTAAGATTCGCTGACGACATTGTGATTTTTGCCGAAACCAATGACAAACTAGACGAAATGATAAGCACACTGAGAGAAGAAAGCGAAAAAGTTGGGCTCATAATGAACCAAGATAAGACAAAAGTAATGACAAACAGCAAAACCACCAACATCAAACTATATGGCAAAGCACTGGAATGTGTAAATAACTACATATACCTTGGCAAACAAGTATCATTCAGTAACAAGAATGAAGAAGAAGAAATAGAACGGCGAGTGAACATTGGCTGGAAAAGATACTGGAGCCTAAAGGAAATTCTAAAAGGGAATTTCCCCCTTCACCTGAAGAAGACTGTAATGGATACTTGTATTCTTCCAACTCTCACTTATGGCTGCCAAACATGGACGTATAACACAAAAATAAAAACAAAACTAACAAACTGTCAGAAAGCGATGGAAAGAAGTATATTAAAAATAAGAAAAAATCAAAAGATAAGAAGCAAGAATATTAGAGAAAAAACTAACATAATAGACGTACTTCATTATGCTCGTACACAAAAATGGCGATGGGCTGGACATATATCGAGATACACAGACAAGAGATGGACATTAGAAACCACAACATGGAAAGGACCTGCGGGGAAAAGAAATAGAGGCCATCCAAGGAACAGGTGGATTGATGAGATAATTCAAGTAGCTGGAAAAAATTGGAGAATAAAAGCAAGAAATAGAAAATTGTGGAGTAAGCTGGAGGAGGCCTTTACCCAGCATGGGGTTCCAATGACATAATAGTTATAGTTATTTATATATTAAGAGAAAATGTTATTTAAGGTTGTTGGAAATAAATGGGCTTATTATTATTATTATTATTAATACTTTGCCCGACCCGGGAATCGAACCCGTGACCCCTTGCCAACGAAGCAGTCCAGTCAGGAGCATATAGTAAAGATTATGATGATAATTATTTTGTACATTAATAACAAAGAGTTTTTTCCACCCCCTATAACATCAACGCATTGCCACTTATAAACTAAAAAAAAACTTACTACCCTCTTGTTAAAGCTCATATTTCTCATAAGACATGTTATAAGATTACACGAAGAATGTTTTCTCATGCAGCTGGTTTCACATATCGCCCGCCAGTCGCTCCGCTCGACAACTTCATTAAAAGTGGAGCGCAAACAAAACGCAGTAGCAACATGGGACACCCTTTGTATGCCAATCAACATTTTTGTAACACCATGTATAACATGTAGAAATATTTGTTCGTTGATTTTGTAGTGTGTTAAGCATCGTGTTCTTTGTGAAGCTTATCTTGTGGGGGTGTCTGATGTGGGTGTCACAGTCGTGTTTATGAAAATACAAAGGTTTCTGCGATAATACCCATTGCACCAAGATGTGGAAATTTTAATCGCGGTAAAGTGGGTCAAAAATTGGTAGCTACATACGTTCAAATTAAAAAAAAAATCGTTACAGTCACGAGGCAAGTTTTTGTGACGATATTCGAAACAATTTCAACCCACTTACAAGCCCATCCCATAAAATCAACACGCCATGACAACCATCACCCTCACCTCATAAAACCATTGATCCATTACAAAAAACCAACAATACATAACTAAAAAACAAATGAACACGACAACAACAACGAACTCGAGTGTCCGCAAACATTTTCATTTTGAAATGTAAATTTAAAAATGGAAAACGAACATGTTTAAGCGGCACCGCATTAATCACTGGTTGGACATGTTGGATATCTAACGGACAAAGGATACATTGGCAACTGTAAACAATTGTGGAAAAATGACAGAGACGGTATGGTCATAGGACGAGGACGTTGTGGCGATGTGGAGTACTTACTTTCTTTTTAATTAATGACGGGGGCTAACCTTCTAACTAAAGGCTACCTTCATCTTTGCTTTTGGACGGGACTAGGGCCTAGTGTTTCTTGCCTCAGATATGTTACCACGCCGTTGGCAACGTTATAGAGTATTGCAATGTAGCTGGTGTGAGATGCCACCACCAAAGCTACTTTCTAATTATGGAATTGAATCTAGAGTCATATAAGGATTTAGAACATTTTTTTTATTCCACTGTTAGTACGGCTAGTTACGGGTCGTGTGTAAGTGACTGACTATGAAAGACATGTTTGTAACTATTAATTTAATTGCGTTATTTTCTGGTTCTAGTTACTTAATAGAAACTAATGGAAAATTACAGGAGTTACATTTGATTAAAGTGATATGAATCCAAAAAAACTCCAAATTTAAATATGCATTGAATCGATTGGTCTCATATTTATTCGCCAATTACATAATAGAATAACCATCCGTACCTAATGAATTTAATGGCAGGAAAAAGTTGCCAAAAATAAATGCCTCCATCTCTTTTTCACCCATTATAGAAAGAGCCGTACCAATATTTTTTTCCTTGTCAATTGATTACCATAGAATTCCGATTCCATTGAATTTGTTTTCGAAATCAATATGGAAATATTATGTAAAATATTTACATACACTCGGGGCCTTTCGGGACCGTCGGTACTATATCTCTGTTCGTTTTTGAGCGGCTCTCGAATTAAGATAGATTGCTATTCCCGGGTTAAATGAAATAATATAGAGTTTCGTGAGTTACATTTATTTTTTTAATTATAGACCGTATAGTAACAGAAATAAGGTCATGGTTGTAATATTATGGCATTGGTAAATTGTAAGAATCGAATTGGCATAGGTTTAGTAACCTAACTATCATAACATCATCATTCATCATCAACAGTCTATAAATATCTACTGCTGAGTAAAACCTCTTCTCCCACGGAGGAGGTTTGAGCATTAATCACTACGCTTGCTCAATGCGGGTTGGCGATATCAAACTTATTAGATTAGAAAATTAAAAATATGCCTAGGTTTCCTTCACCGTTTTCCTTCACCGTTTGTCAAAGGTGTCTAAATAATCTCAGAAAGTACCCACATATAACTCTGAAAATGTCACATTGGTACTTGCCCTTGACAGGTCTCGAATCCGGAACGAAATATTACTATCATTACAATAGAGTATTATTCTCAAACTTATTAACATACTTTAAGTATATGCATCTATCTCAATTCTTTAAATTGAGGTTAGACATCAATTACAAAAAAAAATTCAAGATAAAACTGTACGTACTGTAAGAGTAAGGGACATAAATATAAAGTCCGCAGTTACTATGATTGACATGTTTTTTCAATGCTTATTATTGTCGTAGCAAAACATTATGTTTAAAAGTTACATGAAATTATAACAGTCGAACTTTCCAGTATTTCACCTTATCCGAACCCTCAATGCTACCTACAAATCAGCCACGTGCCCCCAATGCCCCACTTACCTACCTCCAACCATAATATGAATTTTGCAATACGCAGAACTCTTTCAGAATTACAAACAGCTTATCTATAAACGAAAAAAATCCGACGATTCCCTCGCAATAGCGATTCTTTCAAAGACTTCGTTCATACTCCATCTTTTTCTAATATACACACTTTGTATATACCTATCTCTTTCTTTTAAGGCTTTTAGCTTCACGCCCGTCCCTGTATTTCATTTATGGTGTTGGTCCAAACTGTTTTTAAAGTCCTCCCTTGAGTTGGTACAATTTGTTAGCGTTTTGTACCATTCGGGTTCTGTCGGCCGATTGGTATATTTATTTACAACAAATTGGAAGTTTTTTTGTTTCCTTGTTCGCTCCTTAGTGTCGGGTTTCTGTATATTTAGAGCTCGGTCCAACGTATTGAGTTTTTACAATCGCGGTTGTGGCTCGGAATTTTTATTTTCCATTAGACGGTTTAGGTAGGTATTTACGTAGTTGTTTGCCTACAAGTGTTTGTTTTAGGATTATAACAAGATTTTCCCATAGATACATCGTGTTTAAAGAACATTATGGTGTTTAAACAATATTCTACAAATTAAAGTTCCAGTAACTTAAAGCAAGTCCTGCCAGTCGCGGAGAACATAACGAGTTACCGGGGCTCCGGCTCGACGTGCAAGAGAAGGAACGGGGTGGTTTTTTGTCAGTAAGAGTCTGACACTCCCTCCCGCCTCACCCAGGCGGGAGCAGTCATTCAATGATTTCCCCCCCTTAAAAAAAAGTCCTGCCACATATTTCAATCTTCGTGTAACCAAGTATCCCAGTCACTTGCCCAGTGTGTCAAATCAATATTTTCTGTGGACAAAGAACTAACAACTATTACTTACGTGTTAAGCTCAAGGTCCAGTCGGAACTTGTGATTGAAAGCTTTGATGAGAAGTGAAGTCCTATGAAAGTGTTTGCCAGTCTGAAACAAATGAAAAACAACATTATTGTTATGACCATAAAGAACAATTTTCCATTTACAGTAATGGATTACCGAAAAATTTGTTAGTTGGTGTAGGTTTTAGAACAGTTGGTGTAATTAAGAAACTAATTCGAACTGGTGATTACTTATGAAAGTTGGAAATAATAAGAAGTATAAGAAGTAGCTCTGTAATATTAATTTAGTGTTTGTCTTTAACATTTCATTACAGAATTATGAAGGAACTAAATTAGCTTCCAAAAATAGTATAATATTAATACATTTGTAACAAGTAGATTCCAAAAATACAAGTCATTGTCTTAATTAACTAAAATCGCGGGTTACTCACGTAAATATACTGAGAAAAGCTCTACTAGTTTTAAGCCGCAGAGGGATTCTTCCTCATGAGCAGCGTGCGCGGTCACGGTGACGTCACGCACGCTGCTTAGTATGTCTCACGAAGTCATTATAAAAACAAAGTCATTGTCTGTTTAAAAATATATATATTTTTTTAAAGTAAGAGTCTCTATCAATAATCTTTTTTAAGTTCCATATAAATAGAATATGACATAATCATATATTTTATGTATAAACTTTGAAAAAATAATAAAACATTACCCAGCATTTAAAGGAATTCGACGAATATTCAAATAACGAAGGTAAAAATAAAGGCTAAATTTCCCTGAAACAGCGATCTTTGAGGCTTAATAGGCACTTAGACATACGTATGAAACATGTTGATAACTAGGCACCGGGACCCAAATATTTAACTGAAATTATTTACATTTAAACGTATTTTCTCAAAAAGAGTCAAGGACTTTAGATGGAAATAATCTCTAAATATTTTTGTAAATGAGAAAATAAGACTCAAACGATTTTATATATATGTACTATCAGATATTAATGAACGGTACGATACGATGTGTATTGACTACATTAGTTAAATGATTCATTCATTTAAGAGTTTATAAAAATTTTTTACGTGTAGGTAATCCGTAAACTCATTCATATCACATTCATGACCCAATTTTGTCCAACAGACATTTGTATTCTACCCACAGTGTACACTCACCTTCAAAACCAAAACATAACATTTCTAAAATCCCATTAAACACGCCCATTTTGTTTCACGGAATCTGGCAAAACAATGTCAACCTGTTAATGGGTACTATAATGTCCCTAGTGAGCTAGTGAAGGGTTGAACGAGTCAGTGTGTGTCATATGTACCCAATCGCGTTATTTACGCTTTAGGAGTTTCGCAACATCGAGAAATGGCGTGTTGTTTCATAAAACCCATGTTCATTGGGGCAAAGTCAATCGAATTTATGTTTGTATTATATTCTGTCTTTATGTTGTAAAGACATAATTGAGTACTGTTTCTTTAAATTCCTATTATTATTAATGAATCTGATCGTAATTATGTTCATAACATATTGTTCTTATGTAGTCACTGACAAAGAATAATTCTGAAAGCCCCTTTCTTTCAATGTATGTCATTATTACCCACAGTATCACATAATGTGTTTTTATAATAACTATTGTGAGACATACTAAATTAGGTAACTAAAAATGGTGGGTTACTCACGTGAATATACTGAGAAAAGCTCTACTAGTTTCGGTGCGGCAATGTCGCGCAGCCTACTTAGTAGACCGCGCACGCTGCTCATGAGGCAGAACCCCTCTGTGGTTCGAAACTTGTAGAGCTCTATTCAGTATATTCACGTGAGTAACCTGCGATTTTTAGTTAATTTAGTATCACATATACCATCTGTTCCCGTGCTATCTTTTAACTATCGAAATTAAAAAGATTTTTCGAATCGATTATACCCAACGTTTTGGCAAGAAGCCATGCAATATTAGTCCTACCTTTTCTTTGAATTTAAAGATAAAACAATCAAATAAATTTTGAATCTTTCGCAATTCTTTTCCTTACAGTTATATAAACTTCGATAAATCATTGTATTTTTCGTTTTAACTTCGGTGAGAGAACGGTAAATTTTACTTGGGCACTTTGAATTTTCATTATTACTTGTTTGGTTTCGTTATTGGAATTCAAAGGTGTTTGTGTGTGACTCTTGGAGATATGGTGTATATTAAATAGGTCAGGGTAAGTATACCATTGGTATTGCTGAGTACATTATGACAATATATAGTTTAACATTATATTGTTTTATTTTTATTTAAGAGTATAAAGTTCAAAACATCACCCCCTACGCCGAAGGGGTAGGCAGAGGTGCAGAGTTATCACTACATAGTATAAAACAAAGACGCTATCCGCCGCTTGTCTGTCCCTGGATTTTGATGCGGTTTTTTTTAATAGATAGAGTAGATTCTTAAGGAAGGTTTATAATGTATAATACATACATATTGCACCTGTGCGAAGTCGGGGCGGGTCACTAGTGCAGTATAATTTAACACCCACTTTTCACTATTTATGTTATAGGTGCCATGTAATAGGGGGTGAGCCTATTGACACATACCGGGCACAATTTTAGCCTCCGTGTTACCACTGAGATTTTTTTAAAACCCATTAAAATTTTACCTAATCCGGGTTTTGAACCCAAAACCCTTGGCTAGCAGTCGCACTTGCGACTACTCGGCCAACGGGGCTATAAGTATAAAGTTCAGTTTTCGTTTAAATCACTAACTATTAACAAAATAATTGTTGTTAAACAACTATTCGGTTTTCATCTTGTATTAAACAACTTGGCGGACCATTGCACAAAACAAAATGGCGCCCCATAAAATACACACCCGATTACATAGACGTTCCATACAACACTTCCTTAAAGGAAATTCAACCGAAGAGGTGAAACAAATGGGTCATTCTTTAGGAAAAATAAGTTGTGACGGGTCAATGAACCGAATGTCTATATCAGTTGACTGTGATGTCACCATTCCACCAGAGAAAGCAAGGAGGCAAACATAATTATATAAGGTTGACTTCGTGATTGAATTTGCCAGTCCGATTGGCGTGATTTCCATTTTTTTATATTTACGACGTTTTTCAAAGGTGATTTTTTTTAGAATAATAAAGAACGTAAATTACCAAACTGTCGTGATTCTTTTACTAATATTACAATAAAGTAAATAAAAGTGAGAACTTGATATCTAGTTATAATAATTTATGAACAAATAACAGACAAACAATAAATATTGTTTTGAAAAATAATACTGCTTGTAAAAATGATCGTTTATTTAACAGTCAGAACTTACAGCCATCAAATAATATAAAGAAGAACGTAGCCGTCAAATATTTGATACGTAAACAAACATGGCATTTAAACAACAGAACCAACCTACAGACTTCTAAGAAAAGGTCAAAAGATACTTGAACAAAATGATATTTTTTGTCAAAGATATTCACAAAGTATTATTTATTATTGTAACCTAAATCTTTCACAATCAAACGGCAATTACGAACACATAAAACTGTGACAAACAGAATTTTATATAAATGTCGCCTAATGAGGGAATTTTACACGTGTTGTGGAGCTATTGTGCTGAAACAATGGCCGCTTACAAAGCTACAAAAGAAAGGACAACAACTCTTTATTATCAAATATGTAGGTCATATAATAACGAGCTTTGTGTATACCTACAATACTGTATACCCATTTACCACATATTTGCTAAATTGGGTATTATTCAGCATTAAATTGAAAGCTATAAAAGATCAAATGTTTATTTTTATTTTTGTCTGAGGAAAAATATTTTAAGAGCACTGTGCGGTCGGCTAATCGTTTCTTCGTTTTCTGATTTCTTTATAAATTCTGTTTATTGTTGTGGTCGAAGTTTTTCTTTATAATTTTCCTTATTATAAATTTAATTAAGCGGCTGTGCTATTGGGTTTTTGAAAATATTCCAAATATACAAATTTATAATGATTATTTTCGAGTCTAGTGGACCGTAAATTAAATATTCGTAATTTTAGTAGGTTTTGCCTACTAAGGTACTAATTTAAAACCTTTTTATTGGTTTGCTGACTATAGAGGGGTTGGCGTTATTTTTTAAATACTTTGTCTGAGCAGATGTAATGTAGCTTCCAGAAGTCTAAAGTCAACATCGTAATTTAAAATTGCTATGGATAGTTAGTGACTACATAAACAGCTGCAGTGCAGTATAATGAACGTACTATCTGTGTGTATGTACAAATAAATATAAATATAAATATAATGTTTACAATGCCATCGACCAAAAACTCCAGAATTAAATTAAACAATTTTAGTTACAAAATATTGTGGTACTACAAATATGGGATGCATTTAATATTAAATATCTATACATGCTGTGTTTGCTAATAAGCAAAATATTATTATTGTCGTACAAAATTGGCGAGGGTAACAAAAATAAAATTTTATGTGTTATTACCCTAGGTCGGGGTAACCGCCGGCGGGGAGGACGATGCATCGGATTATTGCAGGCCATCACAGAAATTTAATAAACCTTCGCTCTAGGCTATGCACCAACGCGTCAGTTTCGTGAAAAATAAAAAACGTACACTCAAAATGTTCACCGGATTTCTGTTTTAATATTTATTGGTGACACGTTTTTAGATTTTAGTGTGGCGGGTTTATGAAATTAGATTAACTCGTCGGTTCACGTATACCTATGTACCTATATTTTTTCACTCAAAATAAAATATCAAATATTTGGTTTTGCCCGGTGGAAGAGAACGGGTATCGATTTATAATTGCTATTATTAAACGCTAAGTCCTTCTAAATACCAGAATTCGAAAAACATATTAACGTTCTGCTCCTCTCTACTTTCGTAAACCAAATAAGCTTCAGTTGAATGAAATCATCAGCAATAAAAAATATTAACAAAAACGTAAAATATTTCAAAAGCACATAACACTATGACCATTATACCAAAATTATTATAATAACCATTCACAAAATATGTCAACCAGTCAAACACAAATACAAAAGTGAGCCTAATAAGACGTCGCTCATGTCGATACGATACGTTGAAGTTTAACAAATTGCACAAACTTTACATT